TACTGGCCAGTTAAAATGCAGATATACCAGCACTACATGTAAAAAACAAAAAGTATTTTTTCCTGAACTGGACCAGTACCTTATAGACCTCATATCATGGAAGTTTATTTGAGCATGTGTTACCTCTAAATTTCTCCAATAAGTAAACATTGATCCACACTAACAACCTAAGCATTCACCGGGTCTACTACCTCTTGTCTCGATTTAGTCTAGAGTAATAATAGTAGATGACTTGTAGTGGGAGCTCAAATTCCAGCAATTACCTGAATACTTCAGAGGATGCACATGCATACATGACCTGATATTAGGGTTAAAGACATTATGTGGGACAGTTTATGATTTTAGATACTGTAGTTCACATTGGTTTATATTTTTATTACTAGACTTGTTAAATGTTTATATGCTGACACAGAATTCCAGCTGCCTGGTGTACCCTTTGCTGTCTGTTCTGTTGGGAAGATTTTTCTTCATTTTCTCTAACAGTGACACAAGAGGAAGTAAGAGAAAATCTCTAATGTGAAGGGAGATACCCTCCTAGATAGTTGTCACATGAACACGTGTTCCCATTGGGAGATTTCCCCTCCATTGCAGTTCTGGTAAAACTGTAAACTTTGATTTTCTAGGTAGCAGGTAGGCTATACTCCCTGCATGTATATCAACAAATGAATTAGAAGTACCCATCAATTGCCTTAATGGAAACCTGGCATATATTTTAGGCTTGTAAAAGTCCTGCCTTGGAGCAGATAACACAATATCCCAGTTATTACAATTTTCATTTAGAACCTCCCCTCCCCCCTCTTAAAGTAGTTTTACTTTGTTTTTGGGACTTGACTTCTCATCTAAGCCACAACAACATGACTCTGCAGAGTGAAGGTGTCTCAGAGGCCAGTAAGGACAGGGCCATTGGACAGGGGAATGACAGTTGGCAAAGTGCCCTGTTGAGACCCTGGTTAAACCAGGGCTCTGTAGGGTCTCACCAGTACCAGGGCCCCGTAGGGTCTCACCAGGGCTCTATGGGGTCCCACCATGGCTATGTGCGGTTTCAACAGCCTGGTGAGACCCCTCAGGCCCCTGGCGAGACGCCAAAGAGCCCTGGTGAGAGCCCACAGCGCTCTGTTAAACCAGGGCACTGTGGGTTCTCACCAGGGCTTTGAGGGGGCCTCACCCGGGTAGCAGGACTCTGTGGGGTCCCCTTAATTCTCTTTAACTTTGTTGTTTCACTAACCTCTGACTGCAAAGAGTTAGGTTAGGTCAATCCTCACCATACGCCGTAAAGTGACTTACAACAGTGTTTTGGTAAGCACTCCCATGCATCTGTGATGGAGCAAGCCCTACAAACATACATAATAGACTAAGAGGGTTATTCACAAAGCTGCCGAAGGCAGCCGAGTGAATGACCGACCCGAAGTGAAGTGAGCCGAACGCTGTTCGGCTATTCACTTCAGGCTTGCACGGCTGATTTTAGCTGTACATCGGCTGAAATCAGCCTTACATCGGCTTGCTTCGGCTGGCTTCGGTTCGGCTGAAAAAGCTCAGCATGTTCAGCTGAGCCAAAGTGCAGAAGGAGTTCGATTCAACATCTGGATTGGCTGAGCCAAACCTCTGGCAGGCTACTCGCTGCCGTTCGGCCCATTGTCATAGGGGCCGAACAGCAGTGAGTGAATAGCCGGAGCTACGGCTGATCCTTCGGCTAGCTTTGTGAATAACCCTCTAAGTTTTGCCATCTGAATTACTGCACCTTAGCTGATGCCTTCAGTTACTTTCTCTGTCAGTTAGCCTAAAAGTAGGTTGCACTACAATCTATGGTAGATCAATGCTTCACAAATAGATGATCATTTTTGCTGGCAATTGGAATGCGTGATACCTGCTGCTAGTTTATATGCACTTGCGGGTATATGCGGGTATCAGAAATATCTCTGGGAGATGTTTTGATAAGAAGAAGTTGGTGATTTTTTTGGGAGTACCATGGAAAAGACTGACATATCCACACCTCCACCTCTATATGCAATGGGGTTCAACAGAGTGCAGCAACAATGTTACACTCAAAGTGAGGGAGCTGTATGTAGACTGTACCTAGTCTTACAAAACTCAGTGACAGACAGTGATTCTGTGGAAGGGGGAGTAGAACCTAGTGACACTACAAGTTAGGTTCTATTCTAACAAATTAGCATTCCATCTAAAAATCCCAACTTTTATGTCCACAAGGGTGTCTATTATAAAAGGGGAGGAATGTGAAATAACACAAAACCAGTGGGTCACAATCTATTGTATTGTTTCCAATTACATCTTCTAAATTAGTGTAATGTTATAATGGATCTAATGACAAACAATAAATGGAGAAGTAGATTTCAAAGCCTTTTATGCGCCAGAAAATCAGATTTGGACCTCTTTAGTCAGGCACCTATCCTATCAGTACGTCACAGAACCACCATGACCACCATGCTTCTGCTAAGCTTTATTGTAACTTTCACAATTTACATGCATGGCCTTTTTATTTATGTATGTATGTATGTATGTATGTATTTATTTATTTATATCCTAAAATGAGGAATAAGACTTTTAAAGCAACACTCAATTCCCCCAAAAAATTATTAACACTAAACTGATCGCAGTTATATCTAAAGGAATATAATTAAATAAACAATTCCCCTTTAGACTGGATTCACATTGTTCTGTGTGCATGCAGCCTGCTTAGTAACACACATGCATTTGGGCCTATATAATTTCTATATACCTCTCACAGCAAAAACCGGAGTACATACAGGTGAAACTCGAATAATTAGAATATTGTGCAAAAGTAATTGCAGTACTTGCTGCAAAAGGGGCCCAAACCAAGTACTGAGTACATATGCATGCTTGTACTTTTCAGAGGTCCGATATTGTTCTATGTACAATCCTTGTTTTATTGATTGCATGTAATAATCTACTTTTATGAGGTTGTGGAGGTTGTGGATTTGGGGGTTCTTGGGGTTTTCATGAGCTGTACGTTATAATCATCACAATTATGACAAATCACGTCTTGAACTATCTTGCTTTGCATGTAATGAGTCTATCTCATATATTAGTTTCACCTTTTAAGTTGCATTAGTGAAATAAATGAACTTTGCACGATATTCTAATTATTCGAGTTTCACCTGTAGGTGTGAACCAGCCACATACTATAGGACAAGATGGGATTTCTACTTGTAATGCATTTTCATGCTGCAAAATGTATTAGTTTGGCTGCATGAAGGCAGACAAATGTGAATATCCTCTTAAAGTTTTGTAGCCTTCTTGGACCAATTGGGCATGCCTGGCATGTGTAATTTACCCCTACAAGTGCCTTATTATGCTGGGCAACTGTCAATGTTCTTGGATATTTTTGAAATGCCTAATCTAAAATATGGAAAACATACAGGGCTATTCACAAAAGGTGAAGGGTTTGAACAATCTAGGGCAAAATAGCTGATTTGAAAAAATTATTCAATTCAGCTCACTTTCCAGTTCATCTATGTTGTCCTAGATTGTTCACTTCCCTTGCCTTCTCCAAAATCTTCACCCTGATAATGAACAGAAATAGATAGAAATAAGTTATTAAAAATTCAAGAATATAATTATATTATTCCTATTTATGTGTCCGATGCTTAACGTGCAGTGGGTTGTTATTGCACCAAATTATTAATTTTAGTAATCTTTGTGCAGCAACAAGTTTGCTGCTTGTGTAACATGCAATGGGTACAAACAGTCCTAATTCCATTAGGGGCACTTACATTGTCAAACCCCCAAACTGTTATTGTGCCTCAACTCACATCGCCTGCCTTCTGAAGTACAACTCAACATCTGAATAATGTAACATATAAATGCTTGCTGGAAGCAATGCATGGTGGGATATGTAGTCTTGAGAAATCAAGAAGCATATTTTCCCACTACAAGCTCTGCACATCAATAGGAGAGGAGAGACTGTTGAGCAAAGTCTTACCTGTGGCCACTGAGTACTAGTTCTAATCTTCCAGGTCCAGTAGCTTGCAAGGTGGGGAAGCCGACATCACAGCCAATTAGCATCGAGCTGGCTGTTCGGCCGTCTCAATGCCGATTGGCCGGGAAGCCAGTTTCCGATCAATCAGCAAGGAGCCGGCTACCCGGCCGGCTCGATGCTGATTGGCCAGGAAGCTAGCTTCCCGGCCAATCAGCATGGAGCCTGCTTCCCGACCAATCATGAAGCCAGGAGGTGGGTGGAGCCTGCTTCCCGACCAATCATGAAGCCAGGAGGCGGGTCATTACTCGCTACCAGCTTCCTGATCGCACGAGAAGTTGGCTCCATGTTCCCCTACGGCACTGCCAGTCAGAGGAAATCTTCCTCTGACCGGAAGTTCCGGTATCGGGGAAGGTATCGGAACATTTGGGCGAGTACGGGTACTCGCCCAAATGCTCGGTATGGGCACCGATA